TTCTCTGGCGTGACGTCAAAGATGGGTTTTCAAATTGTTGATGCAAGCTGCTTAACGTTAGTTAACTACGACACAAAAAAAACAGAGATACATGAACCTGGATTGCGTGCATGCATATGAGGCAATCATGTGCAATCATCTTTAAATCATTCCACAGAAGACACGAGAACAACGGACACATTACATAAAAAAAAAAGAGTGCGCTTAAAGCGCTATAAACTTGTTGCGCAGCGAACTGCGAATATAAAAACACAATACACGACGACATTGAATGATCTCGTCGTCGACTCCAACGACCGACACGCTGAACACCTGCACTAAACGCAACACACACCATTGAACACAATCAACCCGTCTTCGTGGCAGAGCCGACGCGCTAAACAACTGCACAAGCGAGGACGATTCCGCGGAATCCCTCTCACCGACACACTAAACAAGTGCGCACTTTGCGACGGTGCAACCCCAGTGAAGCCCATCACGACCAGCCACTTGCACATGCGCCCGCCCCCCCCCCCCCCCCCCCCCCCTACCCCCCTACGCGTCATCTTTCCCGTCGTTGTTGTTGTCATCATCGAGGGGGCCCGAACCCAACCAATCCAGCTTCTTCACATCCTCCGGCCCCGTGATGCTCGCGTCGTGCCTGAAACCAATGCCGCAGGGTGCCCAATGAGGGATGTAGTCGGGGTGCTGTTCGAACGTAGCTTTCGCCTTCCCGAGCCTCTCTGTGACGACTTTCGAGGCGAGGACGACGGATCGTCGATGATCAAAGGAGCGATGCATAACCGCGACGAGTGTGGGCTTCGCCACGAGGTCCGCGACGTAGTAAGCCTCGTAGTGGCTGCGCGGATCGTCTCCCGCCATGCGCATTATCCACATGCACGCCGCCAACAACAGCCTGAAGCAGTCAGCCACCCGACAAAGACGCTCGTGCGAGATGAAGTCGCCATCGATGAGGGCCCCCATTTGCACCGCCGCGCGGAATGCATACGCGACGCAGATGACAGTGGACTCCTGGTGCGCCGCCATGTCGTCGCCGTCCGGTCTGTCCTCGATGTTGGCGCCGGCGAACCACAGTGGCAGGTCCATGGACAGATCTATCGTGTGCGCGCAAACTGCCGGACTGACAACGTCGCACCACTCCTCACCGTACCACATAGCACGCGCAATGTCCGTCGCAAAGGATTCCAGCGAGTACTGGAAAGCCACATGGTATCCCCTCGGGCGGTTCCCGGACTTGAATACCCAACCGTGCAAGATGCGCAGCGCCACGTTCTCCACTGCCGCCGCACGGGAGATCGCTTGCTGCAACTGTGATTGGTCGACGATCCTGCCTACGCGCGTGCTGGATTTCGGCAGAACGACGCTCCGAGGGACGGTAGGCGGTGGAAGACCGCTGGCGATGGCGACGAAGTACTCTCTCGTCTCGTGGACGATGTTGTACAGTCTTCGCCCCTCCCCCGTCGTCCAGAAAGCTTTGCCATCAACCCAAAGGACGGCACGATCGATGAGGTCTTTTGTCATGACACTCCTATGTACCCGGCTTGAACCGGGCTCGCCAGTCTCCCGATCGCCTTTCCTCTCGCCACGCGCCTCCTCTCTCGCCGTCGCCCCAACTGCTGCCTCCTTCCTCGCCATCGCAACGGCGGCCACAGTGCCTGGACCGCCCGCCCCCGCAGCACCTCCCTCCTCGGCGCCAACTGCGCGCACGTCCGCCACGACTTCCCCCCCGCCGCCGCGTTGGACGGACCCTCCATTACCACCCTCGTTGCGCTGACGTGGCTGACACGGCGTGGCGGGCAGCCTATCCGAGACTGGCCTTTCGTTTGCAGCAACGCGTACAGCCACCTCCGGCGGTGGGGTCGCTGTTGTACGAATGCGGATGCGACGTCTCTCCAAGGGCTCGTCATCATCACCGCCAAGATCGACGACGGGAGCCTTCTCTGTCCGTGTTTCGCGGCCACGCAGCTGCTGCGCCTCGGGTGGCGGGGTGAGCATCCTCTTCAAAGCGGTATGATCTGAAGAGCGCTGCCGACAGCTCTCGCGTACTTCAGACGTGGTCGCCTCCGCCTGCTCCTCCTCCGTCGTGAACTCATCGTCGTAGTCCCCTTCTGCTGCCGCCGCCCAACCTTGCGCTCCACGACGAGGCACCCCTGCTGATGCATCTTCCGTACGCAGCCTCTTCGCTTTCGGGGCCTGCCGCCTCCCTCTTCCCTGCCCTTGGCTGTCGTCAACGACCGCGTCGCGCTTCTTCCCACGGGTGTTCCCTTGCGTAGACATGTTTCGTGGCGACCTTTGCAAACGAGCTTGGCGGTGTGATCGGATGAGCGGGAAGTGTGGCCGACCTGGCGAAAAATATATCTCCCGGAAATATATCTCCCCTGAAAAGTCTCCCGTGCAGATTTGGCGTGACGACGACGACGTGTGCGTGATACACAGAAGATCTTCCCTCCGCGGGAAGAAGACGTGACGACGACGGACACCCCCGCGACGCAAGAGATTTGTATTCCGCAGGAAGAAGACGACGATGTGCACGTGGTAGACAGAAGATCTGTCTTCCGCGGGAAGAAGACGTGACGACGATGGACACCCCCGCGACACAGGAGATCTGTCCTCCGCTGGAAGAAGACGACGACGTGCACATGGCAGACAGAAGATCGGTCCTCAGCCGTACTCCGCGATGTGCAGGTGGTAGAAAGAAGGACGAAGACGACAGCGAGAGTACTCCGCGGGGAAAAGACTGGCGGCGAGAAGAATAGAAGGTCGATGATCACAGCGATCCGTGGCGAACAGGGTTGCACCACTTCGTCGTTGTTGCGGGCGGTTTGCAGCAGCAGGCGCGGCGGGCTTCTTTACTGGAGACACCTTCGCGGCGCGGCCGACATACAGACGGGTCGGGATGCGCAAGACTTAAGTAGTCTCTCGCAGATAGACCTCCCGCGACGTCGCTTCTGTGTGGCAGGAAATGACATCGTCGACGGTGGCACGTGCGACCACCTTGCCCACATTGGCATGTCATTTCGATCCTCCCGAAGGCGCGAAAACACCCTTCGGCGTCCCTAGCGAGGCGCGTCAATTCACTCGCCAGGGACCGAACCCCTGGCCACCCCATCGCGTCTCCGCCTCGCAGCCACCGAACACCCCCCGCACCCCCAGCCACCAAACACCCCCCCACCCTCCCCCCAAATCCAGACCCCCTCCTCCACAATCCCGAAACATCAAACACCATTCCACACGTGGCTGTCTGGTTGACGACCCATGAAATGCAGACGATGCACCGTCGACC